GTTACCTTTGCAAACGCCGAGCTGCTGAGGGGCTGCGCCTTCAGGACTAACCCCACAGCTGGAGTCGTCATAAAAAATTATATCGCTACTCAAAACAGCCATCTCACAGTGCTGCCGGAGCGGCACACGCATCCACAGCCCTCGGCAATTGCCATGGAAAACGGCGTGGGCAAAAATACAGAGGCTCGGGGGCCGGGGGTTTGGTCAAGCATACGCAAACAGTGCAAAGCAGAATCCCTACACTTTACAGCAGCACGATTAAGCAATACCAGAGTATTTACCTTTAATTATAATACCTAGGCAATTGCCTGTGCAAAGAGGGTCCCATCCTGCAAGTAACACAGCAGAAGTGCAACGGTTAATGGGCGTATCGCACTGGCCACATTTTCTGCCTACGCCGACGTTTATCCACATGCCTGTGCCGTGACAGTGGACCAGTGTTGGGTCTTAGACAGCGATCATGAACTGCAAACACCATTCATGCCTACAAGATGAAATAACCTCTTTCAAGCTGGCAGTGCTGCACTCCTGCCCCACAAAGGGCTATTTTTTTCGGGGGAAAAAGTCTCATTCAAAGTGGCAGACAACTGTCACAGAGTTGGTTGTTGCATCCTGGCCCAGAGCAGACAGACAGCATTGAAAATCAGTGTCTGGTATCTGAGAAGATGAAGTGCAGCAGCATTTATTCTTAAGTTACCTAGCAAAGAGATTGTGGAAAACCTCAGAGCTGTATAAGTAAAAGTGGTCAGTCACACAAAATTTTATTAGATACATACAGTATAACAGTAGTTGCTTCCAAAACCTCTTTTATAAAGCCTAAAAAATATTCCTGGATAGTTCTGTTACAAAAAGTGCCATTGCTTTTGCAGGTGCTGCTAAACTCTGCTTCTGGGAAACAAAGAATCTAGCCCAGGGCCCCGCCAGCAACAGAACAGCTCCTCACCTCCTAGGTTTCTGGCAATAATGCGTAATACAATGTCCTAGAGCATTCCTCTTCTAAAATACCAAAAACTTCAATTTTCAGACAAATTTGCAAATATCCCGAACACTTACCAGTGGTGTGCAGGCTGGAAATCACATCGTGTATCATTTAAGTGCTGGGAATTAGTGTCCACTGCACATTCTTTATGTCTCGTGGGCATTGTTCACATCCAAACATGTTCCTGTCATTTATGCACTTTTCTTGTTTATGTATTTAACTAAGTTAATAGTTTTGGTTTGATTTTCCTAATGTTTTACCTTGTCATTCATGCTGTGATTTCTGCAAATAAAATTTCAGGTACAACCAGCCGGATGAGGAAGCCAATTAAAAGGAGTGTCCATTTTCCTAATATTCTGACTCTGAACTGAGCCAATACATGAAAACAGGTTCATGTTACAAAGCCATATGAATATAATTGAATAATCCTTTGTCTGAATCCCAGGTATTGTCTAGACAATGAAATGGCAAGATTTCTGGACACAATTAGTATAGTTTAGCACCAAAAAGTGTTTTAAAGTAAGATGTCATGAATTGCCTGTGGTGCTGATGGTCCTCTCCACCTCAGCCCCATGCAGCACAGAGCTGCAGTTTACCAACCGAGAGTTTGGCATCCCTGCCAGCTTTGAGACAGATCACGTATTACATAATCCCAAGACCATCCAATGGCTCAATTCCATAGCTATCAGGTTGTTTCAAGTGTGTACAAGGCATGGCAGATGCCATGGACAGTCTCCAAAAGCCATGGTCTGACCCAGGGCTTTAGGAGAGCTGCAGAAAAGCAAACCTGCAGCTAGCCCTGCACCAAGTAGCATAGGATGACCTTATGCTTTTTAGAGCAGCCAGCAGCATTTTTGCTGCTTTCCTCCATCCCAAGCCTGGCTGATCAAGCTGCAGTCTGGCTGCACATTGCCCCACCCAAGGTGAATGCTGATGGTCCTCACATCCCTTTCTCAGAGCTGATCCCTAGACAAAGACCCTTCCTCTCAAAGCAGAGTCCAACATGCAATACTGTTAAAGCCCCTACTGCCTGAGTTACATTGTACTGTGTTTCCAAAACACAAAATGCACTTTATTCACCCTCCTGACCTTCCAGACCTGCCTTTTCTGTTTGCATCTCTCACCCTTTGCTCAGTCCTGGGATCAGTGACTCAGCATGGTAACATATGGCCTCAAACAATCCTGCCTGTAATAAAAACAGTGAAACAAGCCAAACCCAACCACTGCTCTCCGATAGTCCCTTTCCCTGGTATAACTCAAAAATCATTGGAGAGGCAGGTTTTGCCCTGGTCCCAGGCAAGTGCAGCTTTCCTGACGTATTTGTAGCCTGCTTTTGTAAAAAATCGCTGCATTTTGCAAGTCAAAAGGCCTATGGCACATGCTAAATTGCTGGCTTGGCTCCAGGATGATAACTTTGTCAATGCACAACCAGCAAATGAATAAAAGGTGTGGGAGTGTATAAACAAAAGCAAATCTCTGCTGACTTCTATAAGGAAAGGTTGACCAAAGGGTGGCTGCTGTCTGACTACCAGCCAACTACCGCTGACGTTTTGGTGAAGGTTCCTAGGAAACACAGGTACCCTGATCATTTTCAAAGTCAGCTGAGAGAGGTTATGGTTTCACCACTGAAACATCAAAAACTACAGCCCTTTTTCTAAGCACTTGCTAATGTTCCACTTTAACAAAGGCTGATAAAGCACTTTAACTGCATTCTCAGCTAAACAGCTGGATGTTTTTGCTCATATTCTCTTTGGAATTTGAAGCGATTTGAGAGAGATGAAGGGAAAAAAAATCTGAAGAACACTACTAGATGTTGAATTCATATTGCAAATCATGAACAGCCCTCCTGGGCTGTATACAAAAAATGGAAGGTTCATAAGCTGTTTAATGAGGTGTCAGTGGAAGATTTTCAAAAAGAGCCTGGAACTGCTTTGCTAATGCATATGAGAAGACACATACAAGCATATTTTTGCAGTTTCTAGGTAGGGAAGTGGGTTGGGATTACCTGTAGGGTAGTCCATCATGATGAGAAGGAGATACTACATGTAGTACTACAGGTACTAATTTCTAAAAAACAATGCTTGGATAATACGGTATCAGAGAAGACCCGCTTTAAAGAGTTGCAGTGTTAGGTGACGGGTTAACTGAAGACTGCCTCCATGAATTAATGAAGCAAGGAAAGAGTCCATGATGAGCTGGCGGAAAAGATCCTGAACTGATAAATACTGCCCTGTCACAGGGGAGCCTGGCACAGCTGCAGCCCCAGCAACTACTGGAGGGCCATGCACACGGGGAGTTTTTCCTTTATGTTTCTGAATCCTGAAAACAGGTTTTAAAACCTGAAACATTTTCAGTTTCCAGGCAGAGCAGGCACAAGCCAGTGCCAAGTACTCTTTGAAATCTCAGCCTTGACATGTTGCTTATATTTATGTTCTTTACTGCAAAGCTGACAGCAAGCAAGAGCACTGTGCTCTGAGCAGAGAAGGGAGCCAGGGGTTCTACTTTCCCATGAGGATCAGATACTCCTTCTTGCATGTGTGAAGTTAGTAAGTTTCTATAGCACACTCTGGGATAGGGGCTGGAGTGGTCAGAAGGGGCAATACCCCTTATTAAGCCCCTCAGAAACACGAAGCATGGAGACTGGGAGCTGAGGCTCCTCTGAATGTTTCTATGCTGGACAGCAGCTGGAGAAGGATTTCTGGAACTTACGGTGAAATCCTGGGTGCCAAATTCCCACTGAAGCCTTACTAGAAGTCCCAGCTCAGGTCTGTCCTTCACAAAATGCCTCTCTCCTGGCATTATTCGCTAGCGAGACTTCAAGCACCAACAGGATATGTTGCTGTAATTTAAATAAATTAAATCATACCAAATCTATTAAATACAGTTTGTCATATTATATAGGGCAGTCTCCATTAAGCAAAATTCATTAAAAATGTTGATAAGCCTCCAAATAGTTGCAGACAGCAACACCATCTTGCTGAATTTGTGCTGAAATATTTTGTTTCTTTCTTAAGTGTGCAGTGAGCTTGCAGGAAGCCAGGGTCCTGGAAATGCAAGGATCTCAGGACTGATAAGCCTGGCAAAGTAGCTACCCTTGCATTTAAGTTTCTAAAATCCTGGTATAGCAGCATGTCCATTTCAGAGGTTATTTCAAAACGAACAGGGGAGGGGGGAAGGAGGGAAGATTTAAGTACCACTTTGCTATGTTTCATTTGATGTCAAATCGGTTGTTTAGCTTTTGCCTGCAAGAAACTCCACCTCCTTTCAAAGTCCCCCTAAACCCTGTAGAGAATTTATCCCAGCACAGCTCTTGCCTCGCACTTAACATTTACGCCAGCAAAGAAAACCAAATGTCCTCAGTCCCACTGCAGAGGATTCAAATACCAGGTGCCCTGGAAAACCGCTGCCCTGAAAAAGAAGGATTTCCACTTGGATTGGAGTTTTTTCTGGCTTGATATGTCCTCTTATATTTTTTTGCCCTACAAATAACCTAAAGGCAGACGACGTTGCCTGTCACCTTTCCCACCCCACCTTTTTTTTTTTCATTTTTTCTTTCTTTTCTTCCAGAGGAAAAAGAATCTCAAGGGGGAGAGTCGTTCTATAGGTTTTGCTCTTCAAGCATAGATTAAAATGCCAGGCAAGGAAGAGTCCCTCGGTACCGCTCATCTCCTGAAACTGCATTGCATCATTTGGAAAACAGGACGAGAGGACATGAGACATCTCATCCCAATGTCTTTTTAACTGCACTTAGGTCATATGCATGGGGATTCATAACACCAGCATCTACTGCAAGAAAATGAGCAGATGCCAGAAGATTTCATTTTATGCTTAGCTGAAGAAAAAAAAACATGAGCACATTTTCCATTTTAAATGCTAGCAATGTTTCACAGGCTGACTCCCTCGAGGACAGTGGCAATTGGACGGAGGTAACTCAGTTTACCCAGCCAGGCTGGCGAATTGCTTTGTGGGCTATCACCTATTCCTTCATCATTATCACATCCATCATTGGCAACATCACCATCATCTGGATTATTCTCGCACACAGGAGAATGAGGACTGCTACCAATTACTTTATCGTTAATTTGGCTCTTTCCGATTTGCTGATGTCGGCTTTCAATACCATCTTCAATTTTATTTATGCCAGTCACAATGTCTGGTATTTTGGTGAGGAATTCTGCAGGTTTCAGAACTGGTTCCCCATCACTGCAATGTTTGTGAGCATTTATTCCATGACAGCCGTGGCTGCAGACAGGTAAGAGGCGAATGGAGAACATAGGGTCGAAAAAATCCACTGTAAGCTATAAAAAATTCTTGCAATACTTTGTGCAATTGGCCCGCACATACTCTATCAGGTGCCTTATCACCAAAGTGGAAGGAGTGCCAAGCAAATAGACTATAGGGTTAGATGGTAATTATGACACGAAAGGAAGGCTCTTCTGGTTTATCCCTGGTCTGAATCACACCCAAGTCTGTAACAAGTGGAAGTGGCTGGTATTTTGTTGTTCCCACATTATTGATCATAAATTGTTTCCCAGTCATCCTGAAAACTTTTTTTTTTTTTTAAACCATGAGAAGGACCCATCACTTGGACAGAGCTGGAGTGATAGGAATGTATTAGAATGCTGAATATATCAGCATCCACAATCCTGCTTGTAAGCCCAGCAAATCACCAGAAATAATGGGAATTGGATCAGAAATGTCAGTCTGCTCCAAGAGTTCACACAAATTACTTATTCCAAGAGGAAGGAAAGTAATTACAGTGATTTTGTTTGACTTCTGAAGTAATTAGGCATTTTCATCATGCTCTTTTACATCTGCCAAGTCTCTTTTACTCGAGCTTAAATTTGTGGAGTCTGAATGTGTTTACAGCTCATTGTTAAGTAGCCTGATGCTGTTTTTCTTTTTACCAGAAAGAGGCCAAAAGTCCATGGGAATTTCCTCTTTTAAAGGCAGTGGCATGTAAAAGAAGTTGAGGAGGTTAAGCTCCCTTCAAGGCTCTCTGCCCTCCTTCCCCTTATCCTTCCTGTTGTCCCTCCATTATTTCCACTCTCTGCCAGGTGCTGGGAACATCTGTGTCTTTTCTGTCCTATGTCCCTGCTTATCCAGACAGCGAAGGTTTTCCCTGGGGCAGCCCAGCACTGAACCCAGAAATACCTGGCAGTCCTTTATCAAGCCCTCCTGTTGACTTTGCAGTTTCCATCAGGTTTCCCCCATTCCTTATCAAGGATTCATACCCACAGAGGGCCCTGCCAGCTCCCTCAGGAGCAGAGCCAGCACCCCTCTGGAGCCATTCAAAAAGCATCGCTCTGTGAGTCATCAGGGTCACATTCGTAACTCCTGCCCTGCTCACAGCTCGGCTCTCCCCGGCACACCCAGCTGCAGGAAGCGATCGATAGACAAATCAAACCAGATAAATAAACTAGCAGGAGAAAAGTGGCTTTGCCCTGTGTGCCTGGGACACCTGCTGCAACCTGCACTGGACCTGGGGATATGGCACAGCACAGGGTAGTGGCCCCTGTAGTTGGTGGAAGGATTGCTAATGAACACAGGGATGAGTGGTATGTTTATCAGCCTGCAGTTGTCCAGATGAAAGCAAATCCCTATTTACAAGTAATGACAGCTCAGTTTTAGACTTAAGTACTCTTTTGCTGTTCCTTTTAATAACGGGCTGTTGGTAACTGCTATTTTGTATGTGTGGTCTGCCAAAGGATATTATTTAAAAAACAAAACAAAATCCATTTCAGCCTGTCCTCATGTCTCCCTACTCTCATTCCTTGTGGACTTTTGGTGAAAGTACCTTTACAGCCAAAATCTCTTTAGTCACATGGCAGGGATCCGACAGAAAACTTGGCATCTCACTGCAAACCATATTTAGCTATTCTTTGCTTAGCCTTAAAATAGATCCTGACACTGCCTCCTGGAAACTCATGGCTTCCATTTATTGTTACAAGAACTTGCATCCACTTGGGCTCTGTTGTTTAACTTTGATAAAACAATGTCTTCTGAAGCAGTTTCTTGTAAGGAAGGAGGCTAAGAAGTGACAGCTCTATAAGTCATCCCTGTCTGCTGTGGGAAAGGCCTTGGCTATATTGCTCACTGTTGGGTTTACAGAATCACAGAATGGTTGGGGTTAGAAAGGACTTCTGGAGATCATCCAACCCCCCGCTAAAGCAGGCTCACCTAGAGCAGGTTGCACAGGATTGCAACCAGGCGGATTTTGAATCTCTCCAGAGAAGGAGACTCCACAACCTCTCTGTGCAGCCTGTTCCAGCGCTCTGCCACCCGCAGTGTAAACAAGTTTTCCTTCATATTCAGGTAGCACTTCCTGTGTTTCAGTTTGTGCCCATTGCCTCTTACCCTGTTGCTGGACACCAATGAAAAGAGTCTGGCCCCATCCTGACTAGGATCTGACACCTGCCACTGACATATTTGTATGCACTTGTAAGATCCTCTTTCATTCACCTCTTCTCCAGGCTAAACAGACCCAGCTCTCTCAGCCTTTCCTCATACGAGAGATGCTCCAGACTGCTGACCATCTCTGTAGCCCTCTGCTGTACCTTCTCCAGTAGTTCCTTGCCTGTCTTGTACTTTGGAGCCCAGCACTGGACACAGTACTCCAGGTGTGGCCTCACCAGGGCAGAGCATAGTGAGAGGATTACCTCCCTCGACCTGCTAGCCACACTCTTCCTAATGCACCCCAGGATACCATTGGCCTTCTTGGGAGCAGGGCTTAGAGAGAGGCCACAGGAAGCACAAGCAGCAGGGGGCAAAGGCAGCCCTGCCACACAAGAGTGGCCAGGAGACTTCAGCAGATTCAGTAAATCCAACTCCAACTGGCAGGAGCTTGCCTAAAAGCACCGCTTGCCTTGGGGTCCACCCCTGGCTGAGTGGGAAAGCTTCCACCCAGCAGCCCAGGCAACACTTTTACTACCTGCAACACATGCTGCTTCAGCAGCACAGTGCGTGGCATCATTTACACCCAGGATTTGTGGTTCACTGAGAGCCACAAATCAATTCTGGAGAATATTCGCCACTTGATGCCTCCCTGACCAGGTTCAAACATTGTATAATACTGCCTACAGTGAGCTAAAGAAAAGCAAGGCAACACGAAAATTTTATAGCTAAGTAATGCTCTGCTGCCAGGCAGCTCTGGCTTACTTACTGTGCTGCCTGTCCATGCAGCCCCGCTCCATCCTACACGAACAGCCAGGCAGAACTCCCAGTGACCTGCCCAAAAGACAGAACAGAGTTTGTCACATTTTCACTATGAAAACGAAGAAGCAATTGGACTTTCCACTCTTCTGCCTCTGTAACACCCATGTCAAAGACTACGGAAAGCATGACAAGAAATGCATAATTGATTATGTAGTCATTACGATACCATGCATTTCTACACAGGGAACTTAAAACCAGAGAGCCCCAGGCTTGCATGTAATCCAATAGTCAGATGTGCCATGAGGGCTCTGAGCAGGTGTGGGATGAAAGGGTTGGCCTTTCCTTTCCACTGCAAGCACAAGCACTTGAGCATTTACAGGCAGAGGTGGGATGGCACAAGAGTGCTCCACGGCTAAAAATCAGTGGGAAAAAATTCAGGGTAAAGGATACTCAAGACCCTAGCCTGCTGTTGTGATAATATGGGGCATCAGAGGAGATCAACATAATTGGGGGGGGGGGGGAGTGTTTTGGTTTTGTTTTTTTTTTTTGTAGAGGAAGGAGAAACGGTGTGGTATTAAACACCACATATATCTAAACTAATATGAACAGTTCACAGCATGAAATTTCAAACCAAACACATAAAGCATTTGAAAAATTAATTAAAGAAAAAAAACCAAAAAACTCCGAGAAAGGGGAATACTTACAAAGACCATATGCAGAAGGCATAATGACTGCGCTTTCTCCTCATACCTTAAACCACAAGGGTTTAATATATTCTTCCCCAAGACTTGCAGTTGTTCTCTTCAGAAAGGATTTAGCTCCTAATTATTTATAGCATGGAACCTATTAAAATGTCTCTATAACTAAACCCCACTATACCATCCTGGTTAGTTTTTACACTTTCTGTATTTGTTGTATAGTTTACAAATGCAACTGTAAAAGCATTACCTATTTTTCTTGCAGGTACGTGGCAATAATCCATCCCTTCAAGCCCAGGCTCTCTGCTGGAAGCACCAGAGTCATCATAGGGATAATTTGGCTGGTGGCATTTGGGCTCGCCTTCCCACAGTGCTTCTATGCCGAGATCATGATGGACAATGGAACAACAAAATGCATTGTTGTCTGGCCTGATGATGTTGGATCAAAGTACCAGCTCACGTAAGAGAAACGAAAAAACTCCTAATTCATGCAAAAGTTAACTAGGAAACTCAATTCATCTCCAAACTGTTGGCTACAGGGAGAGAGGACAGGGTGGAACCACACAGCAGGGGAATATGGGTGTGAGGCAGGCAATCTAAGCTTAGTTTAAGCCAGTTGTGGAAAAAACTGCCAGGTGATCACAGCTCAGGGTAAGGAAGGGTAATCAAGCCTCCCCTGCTCTGAAAACTGGTTATAAGATCTAGAAATCCCAGATACAGGGCTCAGAAGATTTAAGAGAAACCAGCACAGCCTGGTTCCAAGGATTTTGGATTTTCTCTCTCCATCAAGCAGAAATTAACAGGGCTGGACAGAGCCTTGGGCAACACAGTTTAGTGTGTGGTGTCCCTGCTCATGGCAGGGGGGGTGGAACTTGATAATCTTAAGGTCTTTTCCAACCCTAACTATTCTATGATTCTATGATTTCTAATGCTGAAAAGCTACATATTTAGCTTAAAACTCAGACTGCTCTTCGGGTTAGGGCGGGGGACTGGTGGTGGGAAAGAGGAGCACATTTCAAACATCCTAAGGTTTTATAGACTGACTTATCTGGGCACGCATCTGTGCTCCCAAAAGCTCCTAACCCTCATAGCAATTTCCTCCTGCTTTAAAATATGATTGTTCAGACAAATGAAACAAGCCATACCTTGCATTTAGGGGATGTGCGGTGATTAATCGTTATTCAAAACACATGATACACAGAGTAGTTTGAGAAATTTATCAAGCAAAACATATTTATACTAAGAAGTAATGGAAGAACTCCAGAAAAGGAACAAATCTATTAACAAAATGGAAACGATTTTTCAAACCAAAGCGAAGTGCTAAACTCCCCGTGTCTGTTCTTCACTGTGAATGCTTTTGCCCAGCTCTGTGTACCAGGGACATTTTTGCCTTCTCAGTCTTCATCTCTGGCAGACAGCTGTCTGCCTTCTATGGTTAGTTATTACCAAATCAACTGTTTTCCACACTAATACGTGCCAAGTTTCAGGAGCTTCATGTAAGTTTGGCCAACTTGCAGCAAATTCAGCCACTGGTGGCCGGTTGTCCCCAGTCTCCAGAGTCACAGAATAAGAAAGTAAAGTCAGGCTCATATCACGTTGGGTGATATTCCTTGCAGGGGTCCTTGGTTGGTACCCTGTGGCACATGCTGGGGAACACAGTGTGCCAGGCTCCGGTCGATTGAGAAGGAGGGATAGTAGCTAATTGCCTATATGTAAGTCACTGATGACTATTCCATTCAGATGAAAAGTCTGGGGTTTATTTCTCCCACATCCATAGTTTGAAACAAAAGTTTCCCAGCATAGTGACAAAAACTCTGCAAGCTGGAAAGGCTGGTCCTGAATGCAGCAAATAACAGGACAGGTTCTTTCTGGGATCCCCAGCTTGAGAGCAGCAGTTCCCGAACAGAGAGTATGACTTTGTTCACCAGCTTACTCTCCCTGAACAGCCTCAGATTAGCAGGTTGCAGTAGTTCTCCTAGAGAGGAAGTTGGAAGCAGTGCTCTCCAGAAATCATCTTGAGCAAGGGAGCTGTTGGGACAGATGCCTGCAATACAGACCACTGAGAAAAAAGCCATATGCCGTTCATGTGCTAGTCCAAACACAGAGGGAAAGAAATACTAAGAAACCCAAAGAAAAAACAAAGAAGTGGAGAACTGGGTTCCTCTGTTGACTGTGGGTTCTCAAAATTCTTCAAAGTTGAGTAAAACAGGCTTTCAAGATCTCTAGACTTCAGAACAAAGGAAAATCCTTTTCTGCAGGAAAAATGTGTATGATAGAAACAGGTGAAAAAAGACCCAAACAATGTACTGCTGTGACTGCCAGTGCCTGAGAAACACTGGATACAAAGGGACCGAATCTGTAGAACTTGAACCAACATAAAGAACCTTAACCACAGAGGACATTTTTTATTTTTTTCCTGGTGACAGGTTAACTTTGCAGCAAAGTAGCAAAATTACAACACTAAAAGTTTCTTTTTGCCATGTGCCACTTAGGTTCCTATGCTCTCCTGCTCCTCACAGGATGGGAACTCTAAAAGGGCTTTGCTGATTAGACCTTCAAAAGAGGTACCGCTCTGAGGACATCTGTGAAAGGCAGAAAACAGGCAGGGACTTGCCACATTTCACAGATACAGTATTTTTCTATATGCAGCCACCGCTCTGATATCTGCAAACATTCCAAGCAGCAAACACCACCGTGCGCCCCAACACCCATTTCAACAGCCCTCTACAAAGCAGTTGACTCCACTTGCTAATGCAGCAAGTAACTCCAGAGCGTTGTCATGCTGAGAAAGACCATTTGCACCCAGCCTTTTGTGGCCATTGCCAGCAGCATGTGCCAGAGCCCTCCTGCCTAATCCTGGGTTTTACACTGTTTATGTTAATTTGACAGCTGGCATAACAGAGTGAGCAGGTTGTTCCTTCCCCATAAATGGTGGTTGCTTAAAATAATCAACCTCCAGCATGAGGGAACCAGCAGAAGTTTGCAGGGTGACATGGAAGGTTAGGAAGGGCCGAGCTAAAACACGGCCAGAGGAGATGCCAGCACTTCTGGCTGGAGCAGTAACCCAGTAGCCTGTTGGTGACACATAATTGTGTGCACACACAAACAAAACAGTCAGCAACACAAATACATCTATAACTGCCACTCACGATCTGCATGCTGTAAGCAGGCAATATTCCTTCCTCACTATCTGCAAAGTCTTACCTGATGACATCGTGCATGCTGTTAGCAGCCAGCTGCATCTTGCAGTCCCTGATCCTGGTATTTTTACTGGTGCCAAGTTAAGCTGTTGGCACTATTGCATTCATCAAGTTACTCTGTAGTTTTCAGAATATTCCTTTTCAATTTCTGTCATTTAAAGGTTCATATTTTTTACAGCACAAGTCTCAGATGTGACTCTTTCCTGACTGTAGTGGCATAGCAAAGTTCAGTGCTCTCTGGTAGAAAATAAACCATATTACTCCATCTTGGAAGAACAGTGAATCCAGTCCAAGGACTAATTATTACAACACAAGAGAGATGAGCTTTTGCTATTTATAGAAGTCCCTGTAAAGATGTTTATAGGCAAAATTTCTGCTTCTTTATGCTTTGAAGTTAATGGGAGCCAGACATGCATGTCCAAATGACAATTTCTAAAAGACCCCTTCAAGAGAGATACTGACTATGAAAATGTGCTTGTTCTTGTTTTTCAGGTATCACATTGCAGTGATCGTGTTGATTTATTTACTGCCTTTAATGGTGATGTTTGTTGCATACAGCATTATAGGAATTACTCTGTGGAGCAGTGCAGTTCCAGGCAACCACCTTAACAGAGCCCGCTACGAACACCAAGTTAATGCCAAAAAAAAGGTCAGACGTGAAACTTAAAAGTAATTACCATCAATGCACCAGTGCTGCTGGCTCCAATTCCAAAATGGATCTTGCATTTGATGCAAACTCTTGTGGGATTGGGTATGACAGGTTGACAAAAAGGGGGGTGGGGGGTGGGGGGAGGAGAGGGGGTGTGTGTAAAGGGCATCATCCAGCAAGTATCAAAAGAAATTGTGATCTACATGCACCATCTATCATCCAAGGAAGAAAAGCTCATGTCAGTAGGCAGCAGGCCAGTTCCCAGCAGTCCTTGGAGAGTAAAGCCCAGTGTCCAGTGAATCCACACATTGCAGGATAAACCAGGGCAAAACTCTGGACAGGGTGGGAGAGGTTTCAATGCAACAGCAGTTATCTCATTTCCCTACCACATCTCTCTGATGTAGCTTGCAAGCAGTTCCTCTGCAGAAAGTCCACTCGGCGCACCAGGAAACATTTGCTCTCTCAGGCTGTTCCTACTCTCTGTCATCAGCGTTGGGGGTTTTTGCCCTAGCAGCTCAGGTCTACATACCATACGCAGCACTTCAGGTGAAAACAGACCCAAACCAAAAGTAGCAGTTCCCATTTCCCCAGCAGGCTCAGATGACCACCCAGAGGCCCAGGAATAACACAATGGTTTTGTTTTCCTAGTTTGTGAAGACCATGGTGGTAGTTGTGATCATTTTTGCTGTCTGCTGGCTGCCCTATCACATATACTTCATCCTGGGGAGTTTCAAGGAAGACATCTACCAGCAGAAATACATTCAACAGGTTTATCTTGCAGTCTTTCTTCTTGCCATGAGTTCAACGATGTACAACCCCATCATATACTGCTGTCTCAACCAAAGGTGAGTAGCATGCATGTGAGTGCACAGAGAAAACAAAAATCTCAATCTGAAAAAGCATAAATCTCTGGAGGTGAGAACAACTGTGATTTTTCAACTGCAGTACATAGGCTGAACAGACAATTTATACACTCTGCTAATAATGTGAGATGAGCTCAACCCTTAAGATCGTCAGACTCCGAATGAAGCACAGGCAGCAGACATATGATCAGTGCAGCCACACTTGTACACATTTTCACACACCGACTACCTGATTTCCAAGGAAGGAGGGAGGAAGCTGTAACCCCTGCATCGCATCTGCTGACCTAACGCTGGGCTGGCTTGGCCACCCATTCTTCCAGGACCACCACCCTCCCAGCATAGCCCTGTGCCCCTCACGCAGGCCCTGGGCTCACCCCTGTGGGGAGTAGGAGCAGCCCACGGGTGACCTGCCGAGACTCCCATCCCAGCATGCTGCTACGAGCGAGTGGCTGGGAGAGCACAACCCCATTGTACCAAGAGATGTCCCTCTTGCTCTGTGCTGAGAACAGGCTGTTCTCGGGACGCTGGTGTGGCAGGACGCAGAGTGTGGGGAGCTGCTCTGGCTGCCCTGCGGATCTCCGTGCCAAATCCTGCCTGCGCATCGCACTGATAGAGCTCTCCCTACTCCGCATCTCTCTTCAGCCCAGCTGAGTTCGCAGTGAGTTTTAACGGTGTCTATTACGCACCTTGTCCAGCACCTCCAGTGCAGTTTCACTGGGACTCCACCAGCAAAATTCCTAACTCCAGGGTGGTGCAAGGAGGCTCACTCCTTGAGAGCATTTCAAACAGCATCCTGCCCACAAACTCACAGAAGGCGGCAGCTTTGCAGCCCATTCGGCCAATCTGCACTTAACGTCAAACACCTGAACGCATCCTCCACATCCTCCTCCTCTCTCAGAAAGCAGACAGCATCCTCATTTAATTATTGATGGGGTTTTTTAAAAGCTTCCAGTGGATAAGCACACATATTTTTCTCAGATTATACACTTCTCACAAATGCTGTTATCAGCATGGTCATCACTATCTACTGAGCACATCAGACATCCTGCCATTTCACTGATCATACATATTTACTTAAAATATAAGGAAATCTGATCATAAACTATTGCACTTTTCCTCCATGGTTTTATAAATTTAGCTCTTCACCTCACTCCTTTCTTTTCAATAGAAACGTTTTATTTCCATGGACATTCAGAGGCAAAACCATGTTCTTTCTCTGAGCAACTAAAAAGATCATTTCACCATTTAATTTCTTTTCTTACATGTACAGGTTTCGTTCTGGCTTCAAACTAGCCTTCCGGTGGTGTCCATGCATAAAAGCAACTGAGAAAGACAAACTCAAACTCACATCCCCATCTCTTTACCAGACAACCCACAGGAAGTCAAGAACAACAAGTTTTGATACAGAAACTCAATTGAATGAGAAGACATCATTTACCCTCACCCAGCTAACGCTCTGATTTTCTCCTCCTGGTTCTGGCTCTATCCTAACGCACCATTCCAAGGCAGCAGATTTGTAGAAGCCTGAGGCAGGTCTTTTTTTCTGGAGCTAGTGTTTCTGTCAGGATGTTTTTATATGCCATCAGCATCGGAAGCAGTCTGGTAATAATGCTTATATCCACATGGGCCCAAATATCACCCAGCTATGAACACAGGTTCAGCTCTCCCCTACACCAACAACTGCAATACAGAACAGAGAGAGCTTGGCTGCGAGGTCAAAAAAAAGCAGCAAAGCAGACCTGAGGCACTGCCAATCAGTAGAATATAAATTATTCTCTTCCAGATAGCAATCTCCTTTCTGTTCCACCAAGACATTTAAATCTAGAAAAGAGGTGATGGAGCAGAAAGGCTGGGGCACATTTGGTCCAGTTTGGATGGACCCTTGGGGCTGCATGTGCAGCTAAGTCCCATGGCCCAGCAACCCGATGGTGGACATGACTGTGAAGCAAAGCTTGCTTACAACAAAGGCAAACACTAACACATCCAGACTGAAAAGCCTGCCCTGAAAAATTCTGAGTTCTCGGAGTTTCATTCCTGCAATTTCATCAGCACTGTCTGCATCAGTTAGGAGTGAGAAACAGTTCCCTAAGACGTCTTCATTAAATGCATTTCTATTACCTTGTACCAAAATAAGATGTCATTTTCCTATTAAACTGTGCCCAACTGATTTCTCCAACTTTACATTGTTAATTGTCATGCCTAATTTGGAGAGTGAGAACCTCTGAAGAGTTAGTAGCCGGGTCTGTGATGCTCACTGGCTTGGTCAGGGCTTGTGGATACCATCTGAATTTACCTCCTTTATCTCCTCTTAGTCCTAATGACAGTCTGCCCATCACTGTCTCCTCCCAGATAGTCCTCTTCACCTTCACTTTCCAGACTTACCCCATATTTATCATCACTGTTCTTCTCTTCTCAGATACAAAAATAAAGGCTGAAAAACCATCTTCAAAGCCTGAGACATTATGGGTAGGCATGCAAAACAAAAGCTGAAATATAAACATTTGTATAAAAGTAATACAGCACATAATACTGGTGTGATAATTAGCACCTCAGAATCACCTTCACCTTTCATGACAGGTTTGTATATAATATCTCAGAGCCATACATTAGCACACAAAAAGCTCCTACAATGTTGGTAAGATCCAGTTACTTGAAATATTCCACCTTGCTCTCTGAAAGCAAAACTACAAAGGATTAAATTCTGCAGTAAATTCAGAGAAAAGTTCACGAATTGAACTAAAAGAGTATTCAGGGATGTAACTTTCCTTCTCCACTTAACCTTCCTCACATCCCTGGCTGCTATGGAGAACAACTATGTTACAAACAAACTTATCTTGCTAATGGGACAACAGAGCACAGGCTGTATGCCCTTCTTAAAGAGTTGATTATTTTAAATCATTCCAAGAGGTAGTGTCTAATCTAGATGCTATCTGTCCAGCCTTCTTAACTGGCTGCCTGCTCTTCCTAAGACTGTACCACTGATGTACACAAGGGAGAGGAAGAGCAATAAGAGACATTTACAGCCAGCCACCGCCCTTTTTGAAGGGATTCAAAACCACTGGGGAGGGATGCTCTGCAAGGCAGAAATCTCTGGGATTAGACTAGAGGTTGCAAAGACTCTTGCTCCAAGGAACTGAAGGACACACAGACGCAGAGTTCACTATTTCATATACATAAACTGTACCTCGCCAATGCTCAGCCAATGTAATTGTAAGGCCTTTAAACCCTTTAAATCCTGCAGCTTTCTAGTGCAGGTCTTAGACCAAACAGGCCTATCTTCAGCATCACAGCTTCCATCACACCTTAACAGCCAGTGAGAGTCTACTTCGGATGCCCAAGTGTCACATGTGCTGGCAGTCCCTCTCCTGTGCAGTCCCCGAGAGGCACCAATGTTTTCTGACAGCTCAGGGCATTTCTCTCTCTTGTTCAGGTACAGGAAGTAGAGGATGATTTCTTCAGGCCACAAGTGAAAGTCCTTGTGCCCTGAAGGACTCACACTGCAGACCCTGAAAAGTTTATCTGCTAAATCCAGCAACAGTTAAGAAAGCAGAGATGCTCTGAGCCGTTGTTAGATACCTGCAAGGTATGCCAAGGCAGATTACTTCTGTGATACATGAGGTAACGGGAACACCATGCTCCATAGTAAATACATGCAATTCTTCATATAAATATAGACATGATTAAATACTGCACAGCAGTAAAACACCTCCAGGTCAGCAATAAATCCGTCCTCTGCACAGTCACTTGTACTTCAAGCAGCACTGGAGACCCTGCAGTCAGCAAAGAAAAACGTTTGAAAAAACCCTATTTTTTATGGCAAAGGAATGAACAAAAAGCACAAAACAGGATTCAGAAGTTCAGAAACACTTTATTTTGCCTTCTGCTATTTTCTTAAGAAAACAAAACAAAGTCTGCTTGTTTTAAAACCCATTCAAAAGGCTTCTGAGAGAACCCCCAGAGGAGTAAGGAGCAGATAACATTACAACAGTGGTATGCAAATGGTCTTTTCCCCAAGAAATATAAGATTCTGTGTTCGTATTGCAGTAATTATATGTTAACAATTAAGAGGACTATTATTTTATTCACCAAGCCTAAAAGCTTTAAGTAAGACACCTCAGTCATTGCTTGGATAACATTGGAGACATTTCTTCGGACAGTTATAGCTTGTGATTCACTTGGAACAGCTTCTTAGGGGTAAGAAGTAGCCTGGAAATAGAAATCCCAACAGATCTCCCTTTGAAAACGAACTGTCATGCCTTATCAAGTACATCACCTATGGTCCACAGTAAGAAAAATTGTGCTGTTTGAAACACAGACTCACACACTATTTGTTATGGGCTGGATCCAATAAACAAAAATGACCTATGCCAGCATCTTCAAAATTCACAGTCATCCCAAGAGCAAGTTTAACTTCCACTTCTCATTCATCCTCTATCCTGCACTGGCCCTAGCCTTCAGATGCTGAAGAGCTCCAAACCCAGGTCCCCAGGGACAGCTCACACTACCCCTATAGCACTGCTGATGGCAGGCATAAGATTTGCAAATCTTCAAGCAATTAAAATGAAACATGTTCCCTGCGCCCAAAAAGTTTCTCACCTTCTTCTGTCTCCTATTTGGGGTCACAGCTGCACATGAAGGGTGCAAGAGACTATTCAAGCTGTAACATAAAATGGGTTATTGGAGAAGCACAGCTTTAATGTGTGCAAAAGGGGCTTTCATATGCAACTCCAACACAGGATGTACAAAACAGCAGTGCAGGAGAACCTAACATTGTGATTCTGCAAACATTAAGACTAAGCGCACAGGGAGCATACAGACTGACATGCATTGGACTTCTTTGGGGACACAGCAACTATAATGTATCCATCACTGTGTATCTGCCTAATGTAATGACACTGGTTTTGGTGCAGTGCACTGAAGTTTTCCTGCACTGCAGGTCCTCCTGCATGAGAAGCAGCCAGACAAACTACATGCTCCTAAGACTTGGGCATTGTCAGCTCTGTGCCTCTGCTGAACTACATTAGGAAACACGAAGCATGGGGACCTGGGTGAAATCCACCCTGTTTGAACCTGACCCCGAATGCCCGGGAATAAAAACACACACACAAAACACAGGCACCACTGGGATTAGGTTGCAGCTCTCCCTACACAATAGCTCTTCCCAAAGCACTAAGCCACCAGCCAACAGCACCTCTTCCAGAAAGAACCACTAAACACCAGTTAACGCACATCAAAAAAGTTTAATATTTTCACAAGTATCACTTAACACTAGTACCAGAGCTACTAGTGTGCAAAGTAAAAAGACTTTCTACCTTTGCAAAACCACTCAGGCATGCAATTTTTCAGGTAGACACACACTTAAAGCTGCAATGACTGTTTGTGACTTACGTGTTACTTCACAACATTCACTCACAGTGCACCATAATGCATATTGAAATGATATTGATAGGTAGGGCAATCCAAATCTTAGGGGAGTGGAACAAGGACAAAAAGGAGTATCCTGCGAATTTCCATCTACTTTCTGCAGGAAAAGGCAGCAGGGAAAACCATGCAGACATGTCAAATCCATTTTTGGTAGAAGAGCAGGAATTAAGGACTACTGTGTGGTCTCCCTTGTTGCAGAAAGCGGTGTGACTTGCACATGTTACTCAACATTTGCCTTCCTAACTGTGTCTCAATTTCAGTAATGTGACTGGTATGCAAATATAATAACAGCATTGACTCGACAGAGGACAGGATACACCAAGTGTATATGATCTTTGTTGTTGCTTTAATCCTTGGAATAAGCTGGGTCTGATTTTGGCTTTCTGGTTTGTTTAGTTTGCACACCCAGGTCCTCAAAGGAAAGATCAAAATCAAGCCCTCATATTCCTTTCTGATCACTAACTCTGGCTGCATGTTTGTGTTTTGAGTGGCTGCTTAACAGTACTAAAGATTAAAGCTTTGTGTGGAAGCAAATACCCATTTAAGGCGAGAGACGGAAGTATACACATCCGAGTGACACTGTCTAGCTGCAGATTCAGTAGAAGGGCAGCTGTGGTGCCCTAATCTAGACTGACAAGAAGAGATAGAAAATACTTTTTATAAGAACTCTTAAACAGAAGAATACAGCACAACCCTTATAGGGACCATAAATCTATCAATTTCCTGGGTCTGGAGATTTGGATTACCCCAATCACCAACCACTTTGTTTTTACTCTAGGGATTTCTTGCTGAAAAGTGACAGATTTCACCCAGTAACACAACACTATTCACAGAAGCAATGGGAAATACCAGTGGAACCAGATCTGTGGGACAAGGGCGTTTACTCTTACCATGACAAAACAGGCATCAAGGAAGCAAGTAAGTCGCACTGTCAAGTCCCACTATAGTTACGTGCGTGCACAGTGCTGACACACTGTAATGTTTTCACAATTACTTTAGACGAAACAACAGCAGGTAGATATGCAGGAGGGAACTG